TATTTCAATGCCACAGTCTTCCTTTCCTTCTTCAAAATTCCGAATGCCCAATTGCAATTATAGCCATGTCTCAGTATATGGTAGACATTGACTGGTATAACACTGGTAGGTTTGCTGTGGGTCTCAAGCCACAGCCCCTACACTCTATTCTGCTGAGGCAGCTGAACATTGTATTACCGCAATGCCACCAGCAAAGTCTGTGTACCAGCAGTGGGTCTCGTGTCTGTTTTGAGCAATATCCTTTATTCTCACATAAGTAGAGATACAATTAGCCAAAGAGCTATTGAGCTAAAGGCAAAGGTCCACGCCAAGGGGAGTAATTGCACTCTGCTAACTTCTCTAGGGGTGACATCACTTCCTGTTGTAGACATTTACGGGCCGGCTCATGCCTCTCAACCCTGCTACCATACAAGCACACAGCTGAAATTCGTTATGACCAAGCCTGTGAGACCCCTAGGCGTGTGCACTAATGGTGTAGCTACCAAAGGGATCAGGTCTAGCAAAGAGGTGAGCGTGAGGTATGGATGAAGGAAACAAACAAAAAAAAAAAAAACAGACCGGTTACTTCCACAGACCGTTTAGGGAAGAAGGTGGACTCGCCAAGGCTGTAGGAAGTTTTGCACTTGCCCAAAGCAGCCCCGTCTTTGGGTCACTTGGACTTTCTGCTGTCTATGGGCTTTCTACGTCCTTTCACAGCATACAACAGGGTATCCAAGAAAACAGAGAGATGTCGGGTTGTCTTTACTGTTACCTCACCTTTTCACCTTTTGGAAGTGCACCTCAAAAAGTGCACACAGGAATCACCTAGGAATCAAACCTGCAACCCAGTGCTGCACTGCCACCAAAAAAAGCTTGTTTTGATACAGTGGGGAGCAAAGGACGCCCCAATAACAAAGAGTGCATTCGGGTGAGTGAAGGAATAAGGGGGATTTTATGAGAGAAGGGGTCCCCCACAAACACTGCCAAAGTGGACATAACAAATTCCTAAACAAACAGCTCACAAAGGGCGCTTATGAGGGCCAGACTGTGTTAACTGCCCCAGAGTCTAATCTGCCCCTGGCTGAGGGAGCGAACGGACATGAGCAACCTCTGCACACAGACCACCTCATGAGAACAGAGAGAGAGAGAGAGACAGAGAGCCGGAGATAGAGGAGGGAGAGAGAGAACAGAAAGAAAGAGAGAGAGCTGGGGATAGAGGCGGGACAGGGAGAATAGAGCGAGAGAGGGAGATAGAGGAGGGAGAGAGAACAGAGAGAGAGAGCTGGAGATAAAGGAGGGAGAGAGAGAGCTTAGCCATTTCTGCTCCTTTTTTTTTACATTATTAAAATTATGGGCATTAAACAAGTTATAAATGAAAATCTGTATTAATCCTTATTAATTATGTTCTCAGAAGATGCTTTGAAAAGGGATAATTGGAAGAATAAATGTAATAAATACAATAAAAAAACAGAGCGATTTAAGGCTGACAATCAAGTTTTGCCACAAAGTACAAAAATCCAATTCTTAATTCTATGACAGTTTATTTAAAGAGAGAGAGAGAACAAGATGAGAAACTGAAAGAAAGGAAGGGAGTGACTAAAGAAGGGGAGAGGAGAGAGAGACAAAGGGGTGAAGGAAGAAAAAGCGCACTAACAGCTGTGCGCTCTAACAGCTTGCAGATGTCATTGCTTTTCATCCATTTCATTTCCATGTTCTCTAGTCAGAACTGAAAATAACAGTGGGCCCCTCTCTCGTGTCAATACATGGAAAAATGAAGAATGTGCGGGTATGTATTATTGAGCATATTGTCAAAACACGTCAAAATATGGCAAACGTTAGCATGTAGCCAATTTTGTGAAATCTGTTAGTTGTTAGAGTAGGCCCTGCACCCTTGGAGTTCAGTAAAGTCGGCTCCATCCGTTGAATGAGCTGTGGACCAACCACATAGCCCATCGCTTCAGCCAGCCAATGGGAGGGACTGTTACTGCAGTCATCGTCTTGGTGATCCAATGTCTCCTTTCCATACTGAGAATACGCAACTGTTCCCCCATACCTACAGTTTTAGGACTATATATATTGTTTATAAACAATATTGTATCTGTAGGCACTTAGTGCCACATAGCATCACTTCATTTAACAAGCTCTGGCATGCAGTTCTGAAAATATTCAATCTGTTTGAAGAGCTTAGTTTGTGCTGTAGAGGTTGCAGGTTTGATTCCCATTGAGAGCACCACCTCTATACCCTTCACTAAGGTATGTGAAATTTTTTTTTACAAAAAAAAACCTCTTTCAGCTACTCACGCTCTGTTGCATGCTTAAAATACATAAAATGTACCTGAATCAAAAAATAATGATCAAACTCTTAAATGACCAGTGTGTAATGGTTCCCATAACACATCAGCATCTCATTATCAAACCACAATTTCTTTTTGGTTTCACAATAAATGGTTTAGTTAAGCCTTTGTTTTTTATCCGTTGGGACCATGCCGTCCATATTTCAGCCTTTGCTTGAGTCCAGGAAGTAAATCCAGACAGATATTAGCTGCAGAATTTGATGTCCTTCTTTTATTATATCTAAACTTGTGTCTTGGAGCTTTCCTCATGTTTTGTTGCTCAGAGTGTGGGAAAGTATTCTGCTGGAATGTTGACCCACCACAGATGAGCTGTTTACTCTCCTGGAGAGTTACAATGTGCGGCCAGTCATCTCCATGGTAATCAGTCTGTGTAAACCAGCTAAAATGCATAATCATCTGCAGTAAAATGCATAATTTCTTCTGTATATAGCACGGTGAAATGTCTTTTGTTGTGTCATGTCAATGACCTGTGACACAATAGCAAGAATGAGTCAAATAAAATCGTCACCACCTTATAGATAGGCCTCATCCCTCCTCATCATCGTCAATGACGGTATGATGTAGCTTCTTGTAGCTCTGAGGTTTGCTTCCCAGGTTAAGCACTGCCATTGTATTCTTGAGCTACGTACTCCACCAGAATCATTTCAGTTTTGGTACTGGGAGAGGTGGAGGAAGTACTGCACTCTTCCGTTCCTCTCATTGGACCACTGTCAGGCTTTCTGTGCCCTCCCTCAGCCTGAGGAGCCAATAGGAAATCAGTCAGCAACACAGCGACAGCCTCACAAACAGACAGGCTCACCTGCATGGAGCATCAGCCCTGGTGTTGCCCACTGCCCTCATTAGGCCATCTACAATGGCAGAGCCCCCCAGACTGTAGGAGAGGGGTATTTAGGGATGGGGGGTTTATTGGTTTTATTAAAGCTGAGCTGCCCATGAGTTTGGTTAGTTGTAATGTTGCATTTTTCCTTCTTCTGTCTCCTTAGGAATAGAAAAATGAAGTAGCCTGTGGCTATTGCTTTGGTCCATCCTATTGTGTTGTGGTTATTTTCTTCCTCCACTCACCACCTGACCCTGTGGCCATATCTGCCACTGCACCTCACAGCTGTATACATGGATTTTATGTATAAAATGTAACCTGTGTAACTCTGGATAAGGTAACTGCAATCACTTTCATTGTGATGAGTACATCCTCTGACATTTCAGGTCAGTCAGTGCTTCCTTTAGCCCTATGCTCCATGTTCTTACCCCTTAAAAATCTCATCATCAAAACCACTACCAGCCATCAACTTTATCTCTTTCCCCATAATAGTTATCAACAACAGGTTTTTGTGATGCTGTGAGCCTAATGATGTACCCTTGAGTCGGACATTAAACAGAATTACTGAAGTAAACATCCAGCTGCATAAAGGTATTGTTTGTAAAATGTAGGTTGTGTAAGTTCCTACACAAGATTAGAGTATGAGCTAAATGCGTTAAATGTGATGTAATCATCAGCAGAATCATCACTACGGTAATAAGCACAGCTTTGTGATAATCATCACGGTCAGCATCTCTTACTGTAGGTTATAAACAAGTCTAGAATAGCTGAATACCCCGCCGAATGCTTCCTGTAGTGCTACGTTTTATGTTCTACCAGCATGAGGATCTCATCATCAAAACCTCAAACACCACCGCCGTCATCTTCATCTTCATCTTCATCTTCATCATCACAGTGGTGATGAACAGCAGGGAGTGAGTTTTGGAGATGATGTCATTCTTCCCCCTGAGCACAGTCACTAGCCAGCTGCACCCCCCTACCCCCATACCCCCCCTTCCCCCCTAAATCAGTCCTTTTTTGTGGCCAGCAGCAGACATGGTGACTCTGTGGAATGAGGCGGGAGGGGGTGGCTGGGGGCCACTGGGGCTGTTGGAGGGGGTGGCTGGGTCCTCAGAACGCGGTACAGGCTTTTATGTCTCTGCCCCTGGGTGTTGGTTACGACCCCTTGGTTAATATTTCGGCCCGATCCTCTCCCGGTCTCCTGCGGGACGGGGCTGCAGTGGGGGTCTGTTTTGCATTTGGGTCAGGCATGCAGGCGGCTCTCTTTACTGAAAGTGTCTGACGCTGGCATTGAAAAAAATGCAGCAGCAGGCTTTCTGTTAAAGCTGATTCTTATTGAGGGCATCCCAAAATCTACAGCTAGCTCTCCCCACACACACATTCACAAAAAAAAAAACGCTAACCCACAATCGCACATTAGGCTGAAGAAGTGAAAGAAGGAGGCGGGCTGTGTTTCTTTAGCATTTGTGCCAGGAGCATTCAGTCTTACCCAAGAACAGCCAAGTCTTTGTTCCATAAAAACACAAAAACACCTGTTTCTGCTAATCAACTAATCATGGCCTTCATCCAGTGAAAGGGACAGTTTAGTATAATGGTCAGGGAGCTGAGCTCATTTTGCATCACATTCACTTAGTTGGCATTTTTCTCCAAAGCAACTTACACTTGATTAGGCTAACCAGGGGCCGCTATCCCCAGAGCAAACAGATGTCGTAATCTTTGCTGCAATTGGATTTGGGCTTGAACTACCACCCTTCTGGGTCCCAGTCAAGCACTTTAGCCTCAATTGTTTGGAATACAAATAGATTAGGTTACAAGCAAGTATGGTGGTGCTTGACACATGTACAATAGGAAGGTTCCACCGAGATTTGAACTCGGATTGCTGGATTCAGAGTACTAACCATTACACCATGGAACCTACATAGGCCCTTGAGTAGTTGGTTGGAGATGTATGTCTACTGCGGTTGGACTTGTGAGTCAAGTTACATTGCAGTATAACGGTTAGAGAGCTGGTTTATAACTCAGACTTTACAGTGTAGTGCAATGGTTAGGAAGTTGGGTTTGTATCTCGAAGATAACTGTGCAGTGTAATGGTTAAGGAATTGAGTGTATAAAGCAGAGGTTGCAGGTTCCAGTCCCAAATGTTGTCTTTGCCTTGAGTAAGGTGAATCTTGGCTTCAATTGCTTCAGTACACATCCAGCTGGACAAATATATGGTATATACACTGGTAATTACTCTAGATAAAAGCAGCTGCTTTGTGACTCAGAAGTCAATTTTCTTCAGTCAGCACATTAAGTAGATGAATCAAACTAATTGCTGAACTCTTAAAGGAGTGTGTGCGTGTGTGTATAATCTTGTGTGTTCAGGGTTTAGTGGATGTGCCAGTTGTTTGTGACTGAGGTCATGTTTGGTGTTTGCTAGCTGGGCCAAACATTTGTGACAAATGCAAGTATTGTGGTGCTTGACACATTTGTAATAGAAAGGTTCCACCGAGATTTGAACTCAGATTGCTGGATTCAGAGTCCAGAGTGCTAACCGTTACACCATGGAACCTGTTAGAGTTATTCCACAGGGTTTCAAGTCAACTGCAGTTGGACTTGTAACTCAGTGGTCATATGTAACAGTATAATGATTATAGAGCTTGGTTTATAACTCAGACATTACCATGTAGTATAATGGTTAGGAAGCTGGATTTCAGAGATTCTTGGTTGAGTTCCCATGCAGAGCGCTGCCTTTACAATTTTCACTCAGGTAGTTTGCTTGAACTGCATCAGTAGGTATCCAGCTGGACAAATGCATGCTATGTAAACTTAGAAGTATTGTACATTAAAGCAGCAGCTTAATGGTTCAAATGTCAATGCCTTCAGTCAACACGTTAAGTGAATGACTGAACTGAACTTATGTCCTGTGTTCAGTGTTTAGTGGATGGGCAAGGTATTTGAGACTGAGCTGAACTTGTGTTCTGAGCTCAGTGTTTAGTGACGGGGCCAGGCGTTTGTGATAACACCGTGTCTGCAGGGTCCAGCTGGGCAGGAAGCCTGTAGCTTTGTGACGTTTCTCTGCGGTATTCCTGTGCATTGTGTGTTGTACTGCAGGTTTTGATGTGAGACTGCTCCAGGCCTTTGGCAGAGATCCGACAACATTCCTTAACACTGCTACCACCGTGAAACATGAAAATCCTCTCTTTTTCCTCTCTCTTTCTTCTCCCCTCTCTATGTCTTTGCATTCATCTCTCTCTTCTCTTTTATATTATACTGCTTTCATCTCTCTCTTTCCCTTTTCCTTTCCTTTCTCTGTTTCTTCTTCTTACATGAGCCTGTCTTTCCTCTCTTCATAGTCTTTCTTTTTCCTCTTTTCTCTCTCTTTCCTCTCTTTACACTTCCCCCACTCTTTTTTCTCTCTATTTTCTCTTATAAGTCACTTCTTTAGTATTATCAGACTCATCTGTTCTCCTGTGCTCGTTTCATTGGCCGATGGTGTCAGGAAGGGTCGCCCCATTTGTTGGTAGTTAGAACGGAGCTGAACTTTGACCTCTGGGGTTTGACTGGCAGGTCAGCCGTCTTACGATGAGGGCGATTTGAAGCTTTGAAGACTCTGCACCCTGTCAAACACCCACAGGTCCAGTTTCATTTCTTCTCTGTGGTATGTAATTTAATCCCCGGTATTGCAAGTGTCAAAGGTCGCCCGAACAAAAACAAAAAAAGTCCTTCTCCAGAAAAAAGAAATAAAAGGTTGAAATGTTATCACATTGTGAACTTTGAGAAGCAGAGGAGGTAATTAATGCCTCTGAAGTCTGATGGCTGTTTCTGACGTAATTTCATGCCCTCTGTATAAACTCTGCTTTTAATGCCCTCAATAAAAATAATGATCACATTGAAACACATACCAAAAATGTAAACACACATACCAAGCACATGCACTCACGCACATACCAAGCGCACACCCATACAAACACAAACTCAAACCAAACACTCATGCACACACGCACGTTGTTCTGTTGATAAACAGACACGATAGATCTGCATATCTTACTGAACTCTATCTGATTACAGTAAACATGGATATAATTCAGTTCTGCGGTCCCTTTGGTTCAGAATACAGGCGTTGTGACTTAGCTTAGGAGTCATCTGGTTTAGCTCAGTTTAATTCAGCTAGCTTTCAGTTTCAGGGAAGGCTGATGTAGCGATGAGGAGGTCAGTACACTACCTGAAGAAGTAGGCATACCCATATCTCACATGCATTATTCATAATGAGGCCAAAGGTACAGTATTGCCTTCAATTACACCACCAATATCAGGGGTTCTGGGCTCAGAGTATCATTTGTCTTTCAGTTTTGGGGTCCCAAGGCTTAGAGTAGCAGTTTTAGTGTCCCTTAGGTTAGATCCTGTATGTTATTCAGTTTTGGGGTCCCTAGGCTTAGAGTAGCAGTTTTAGGGTCCCTTAGGTTAGATCCTGTTTGTTATTCAGTTTTGGGGGCCCTAGGCTTAGAGTAGCAGTTTTAGGGTCCCTTAGGCTAGATCCTGGTTGTTATTCAGTTTTGGGGTCCCCTTGGCTCAGCGTACTGGTTTGGCATCTCATTTTTGGGGTCTTCTGACTTGCAGTACCAGTTGTGATTCATTTCTGTTTCCCTTGGCTAAGATTCCTTGTTGCAATTAATGTTTTGAGTCCTCTGGTCAACAGTATTGGTAGTGATTCAGTTTCAGAGTCCCATTGCACAGAGTACTGGTGGTGCGATTCAGTATTTTGGGGTCCCTCGATCTGGAGTGCTGTTTATGGGACACACCTGGTTGCGATTACCCCCTATGGTGGTGGCAACAGACTGCGCTGGCTGGGAGCCACAATGAGCCAGAAATCAGGAGCAGATACTGAGTGTGTAAAGTCAGGCCTAGGTTTACGCCTCTGTGTCATACACCTTGGGAAAGCAGTGCAATTCACAACCAAAAAAACTTTTTGGGATTGTAATCCAATATTTTGACTCCATCTCATTAAGTCATTGAGCCCGAGTCTGAGATGAAGAATTCAGAATGAAAAGAAATGTCCACGAAATGCCCTCTGAGAGTGACCATCGTATGAGCTGGTCCATCCCCAGCCCAGCAATCACTGCCGCAGTAAGACGAGAGACGAGATCTCACCACCTAAGTTCCAAGTCTATGTCAATATTGGCATTCCACCAGTAGAACAAGCAAGAATCAGGGCAGTATTTTAAACTGAATCCAATGTTTTGTCCCCCACCAGGCTTATCTCTCCGTACTTAGCTTTCTCGCACTGATTAAGTTAGAGTTATGCCAAATACACAATTTCTCCCTCTAGACAAAAGGGAACCATGCCAGGTTACATCAATGCACCGATCTGTATGGTTTTGATGGTAATGAAATATGGTGATGTAAATGTTTAGGTTGAAACCTGAAAAAAAGCAGGGATTTGGAATGCAAACTGAAACTTACAAGGGAGGATGCAATACTTCCCCTTACTATACAAGACATAACTTTATATTATACACTGTGTGTGTGCATGAAAGAGTGAGAGAGAGAGAGAGAGAGAGAGTCAATGTGCATGTGTGAGTAAGTATATGAATATTATAATTCTCCAGCCTTGGTCTCATAGTGCTTTGACATACCTGAGCTGTTTGGAGTCCTGTAAAGTTCTTGCACATAATTTACCTTTTAAAAAGAAATGTTTTTTCCTCCAAAGGTATTTAGTGCTGTTTGGCTAGTATCATGTTGCAGTGAAAATAGTTACTGACTCCTGTAGTATTGTGTGTTTCATGTTGGGTGTAAAATAGTTACTGACTCTCCTGTAGTACTGTGTGTTTCATGTTGGGTGTAAAATAGTTACTGACTCTCCTGTATTACTGTGTGTTTCATGTTGGGTGTGAAATAATTACTGACTCCTCTAGTACTGTGTGTTTCATGTTGGGTGTGAAATAGTTACTGACTCCTCCAGTACTGTGTGTTTCATGTTGGGTGTGAAATAGTTACTGACTCCTCTAGTACTGTGTGTTTCATGTTGGGTGTGAAATAGTTACTGACTCTCCTGTAGTACTGTGTGTGGCCTGTACGGTGCAAAGTCATCACTGTAAAGTACACACCACGGTAATCGTGCTGTCTGCAATAACAAAAGAGTAGAGTGTTGAGTGCACATTACAGATGAGGGTGGGGGGGGAGAATGAGAATCCAAAATAATTACATAATTAAATAATAAAATAAAAACTGAAAACAGCTGGTGATGACTCAGAGTACATCTTAAACATAAAGTGTCACCCCCCGTTCCTGCTCAGGGGGCAGGTTGGGGCAGCTGCAGCGCTTTGGCAGGCCCACGTTCCGGATGTGCCGATCATAAACCCGGGAGAAACTAGGTCAAGCTGCAGAGCCCCTCACAGTGAACCTGCTAAAGGGCTCTGCTGAGGCTCTGCTTGGGATGTTTGAACAGTATCGAACTCATGGGGAAAACAGACACACACGCACACACACACGTCCACAACTACAAACATACACACATGTGCACACACACCAAACACAAACACACATGCGTGTGCACATGACTCCAAACACGTGAACACATACTTGCACACTTTTAAATACTGTATTTGAGACCACAAATAATGAAGGGTTCTATTTTTCAATACCAAAATGGTTTGAGACCCTGGGGCTAATCAATGCCAATATCCATCCAGGACTCACTGCGGCAGTGTCATCGGCAATGTTCCAGTTTCCATCTTGCGTCCAAGGGACAAGTGTGCTTCATTTGCCTGGATTTGTACTGAGGCAGAGCGAAGGAGGAGCTGCTGGTGCGCAGAGCAGATGTCACCTGCAGGTCCCTTCATGACCTGACAGAGGAAGTTACTACAGCGAGGCAGGTATGCATGGTAATGAACATGGCATCCCAAACAAACAAGAAAAAAAAACAAAAGGAAATGA